AATAACTCGTGCAATTGATTACTCGATAAATTGACACAAGATTGATCTGTTAGCTTTCCATTAAGGAAAACAAGGGGTCATCGGACATTGTATAAGAATAATATAATCGAATCGGTTATATCAGCTCTGTTTACGATCTGTTTTTCATGTCTAGGATGTCCTCGAGTTTCGTTTAAATGATAGATTTAATTTGTTTTTTATTATGATACGAGTAACTTCATCAATTTGTTTGGTACCCTCGTACAAAACGAGCCAATTCCGAAGGGGGGGCATTTACCGCGACAAAATCGTGACGCGTTTCTTTTATGATTTATTGCGTCCGATCACCCTGTTAGATATGGAATAATACGAATATAATTATTTCACATCAGTTGTGTTTTTTCCCCCCATTTTTCTTCGTTTCGCTCGATTCGTTGAAATACGCACAAACGATAATATTCGTACCAGTCGTTAGAGGAACTTTTTACAACTTAAACACGGAACCGTGTATTGGGTGGCTGAATAATTCAACGCGCGGCTGACAACAGCAATTTTCTTACTACCACGCGATGAATAAATAATTGTTAATTTAATAAAACTTTTGCGGTTTAGCTGGGGGAAAAGAGAGTCTCGCATTTTTATAACTCTATTTTTAAGTAACCACAATCCCGTAATTCGTATTCTCTGCGTTTCACCATAAAAGTTACCAAACGTATCCACTCCGTGAAATAAAAAGAAAAGAATTCATGTTAGAAACATTCTTTTTTCGATTCTTTTCAAGTTTGGCTAACATTGAGAAATTTTATTTTTTACATTGAGTAATTTATGGTAGGAAATATCTTTATTCGATAATAAATTTTCCGTTCTAACTTACGATCTTATTTTTTTTGAGCAGCTTCATAATTTCTGTTACCAAAAGTCCTAAACTTTTTGTACAATCCAATATTGACAATAATTTCGCCTGTCGCGTACTCTTCAAGCAGAGATTCGAGAACACCTTGAGAACGAAGAAAGACGTTTGCAAAATTCGCCTAACCGTAGCGTCGTGTCATTGAGCACCGATTTTGGACACCAGGAATTAGCGGAGGTCGCTATTTTTAGGTCAAGGATGTGCCATTCGATTCCTTTACCATCCCCTCTTCTTTTCTATCTACCATGCTCAGAACACTGTTCTTATTAATTTCCTAAGCTTTGTTGTAACAAATCGTCTCTATTTGAAATAATAAATAAAATCGTTTAAGAAACGAAAGAAACACACTGATCGAAACTCTATTAATATAATATCCGTTAGCATCGTTAAAAATTATTATAAGAGCAAAAAATAATTGTGGTGGGGACAATTATATTTGGTAAATCATTTCCTACGAGATCGTGTTTTTGCCACATTTGACAGTCATCGACGTTCTTTTTAACGAGATCACGTACTCTTTTTTGCTCGATTTGCTACCTATCGAAACGGAACCAACGGCTTGGAACAGTATAATCTACTGTTGACCTTGAGTATGTAAATTTGTATTGCCAGAACGTAACGTTCCGAACAAACATTTTGCAAACTGCTGGTATCAGTCCTGGAGGTCCATTTCGTAGGCATAAATTATCGTATTAAAGGTTACATTGCGGGTCGTTGAATTACAACACACGTACACAGAAATATTTAATTCCATTGAACAAAAAATTGGCTTGAAAACTTCAAATTATATGATCTTGAAGAAATTAACTTTTAATTAAAAGAAACTGAGTTTGTGATGGTGATAAACGTTACAAAACAATATTAAAAATTGCTAAGTCGAAGATTAATCCTTAGTATTCGATAATTATTTCACAATTAAAAACAGTATTTTCTCGAGAATTTTTCGTTCGTGTGGAATTTCAAGTGAAAAGGGTTAAGATGGTAGTTTCGATCGCTCCTCTTTACGGAACAAAAATACGAAAGTATCAAATAATTTGGTTTCGATATAAGGGTAAGATAAAATACGAAGATCGTCGAGGAGATTTAACCTGTCGAATGCGGCAATCCCATTACGCAAAGCCTTACTTCCTGTCTCGGCGTCTACAAGAATTTATCGCGCGAAGTGGGTCGTTCGATAGAAATTGATTCTCGATAGAAAATCGCGAGCGTTAATTCTCCGTTAATCCATCGTTAACATTTCATTATCTTTTTCAACCCAACCTCTCATTGAACAAATAATTACTACCAACCCCTTGCCATACAATGACGTGTCTGACTCGTCATCGAGTCCTATAAATTAAAATCAACACATTTTTACATTCACGAGGTGTTCGTAAATCTATTCTTTTTCGTGACCATTAAACTTAAAAATTACATTAAATCGTAAGTATATAAGGGGTCAATATTGTTTTGGCGAATTTTAGTAATCTTTGTTTAAGAAGTGGAGCGCACGGTAGTGCTTCCACTGTTTTAAATTCGCGAAAGTAGACGATAGAGGCGGAATCGAACACGTTTCGTTCGTTCAGGAGTCTCAGGCTGGGAAACCGCGTTCCGTACGCATCGCGTTATCGCGTTGCAAGGCACGTTTTAGTGTTACTCGTCGCAGTCACCGATGCAGCCGTGCACCGAGTGCAAGGTATATCGTCGGTGCTTTCTTACTTCTTGTTCTCATGGTACGTACACGCCGTCTTTAAGCCCGGAATAGATTTAGGAAGCGTCGAGCTATGCGACGGGGCTTTGCCAAGTCTCTTGGTACATGAATGAGTTAGTTGCATGTGCGTACACGTGCTGCGCTAATTTATAGCATCGCGACGAATGGAGCGGAGATCCGAGCGCGAAAATTGCAAATCCTACAGGATCGTCGTAGCGATACGTTTCGGTCGCTCGTGAACAACGATCACGATCATCGTCGAAAAGAAACCCCAAAAACGTGTCGACGTATCGAATTTGATCTCGTGACCTCATTCTGACAGGACAATATTTATTATTCCATTATAATTATGATACTTTTGGAAATAAGAAGCAGCCATTTTTCAGTGTTGTTGTGTGATTGAAACAGTCTTTCTTGACCTCAAACAAATAACCAAGATGGCTATAATTTTGTTTCAAAATGTCGTTGATTTAAGTAACTGTTACTTAATGCAATTATAAATTATTTATATTTGGGTTTTTCTTTTTATTGGACGCATTTAAATACATATAAATAGATAAAGTGTAAACATTCTGCAAAAGTAAAATTTTTATTTTAGACCATCGTAAGCTACATAACCTAAAATTTGTTTCACTATTAACCTTGTAAAGTCTTAACTTCAGAATTAATTTTTCAAGCATCATAGAGGTAAATCCTGTTACCCATATATGGGTGACATGGCAGTCAAAGTGTTAATGTAGTCGAAAGAACTAGGCGTACCCTTGTTCTTAATATGTTCATAAATTTTCTCTCGAGTACTTTCTCGTTGCAAAAACTAATGCAGCAGCCCGCGACAGATTTATGTGCATAAAAAGGCTGTTTAATAATAATGTATCTACCGTAATGTATCCGCAACGACGCTGGATTGGTTTCTGTGCCTTCTGACGGATCGAAAAAAAAAATTACAGAGTTGTATTTTTAGAAAGTCCCGGATGATAGATTATGGTAGCTCGAAAAATAAAACGGAAACGGTTTGCAAAAAATATATTGTAATTTTCCGGTGGACCTCCGCGCGTATCAAATTATGCGGCACAGAAAAACTTCGAATAGGTGCACTAACATCGGAAGTAATCGAGGTGATCGGGTTACGTGGTTCACCTTGTATATTCCTGTCCGGTGTTAAAAATAGCGTTAACTGTGAAAACTGTTACATTACGACTGGATCGTTCGTTGGATTTATTTCAATTTTTCACATTAGTATTGTCGACAATATTTACTTCTACTCCAGGGGGTTGAAATTTATTTTTTAACAGAACAATTGTGCTTCCTTTATGAGCACGTTTGTTTCAAACTAAAGAAAAATAAATCTTTTAAATCGTTTATATACTTGGATGGAAGTCACGATAAATTACAAGAAACAGGATATATTGGAAGAATTTATAGATTGTTTATATACTTGGATAGAAGTCACGATAAATTGCAAGAAACAGGATATACCGAAAGAATTAGAAAACAAGTCATCTTGATGATGTTGTTTGGTCGAGATAGTAATAGCGGAGCATAGTATTTGGTATTTGAGAGGTTGCACATTCTTTTTGGAGCGATTGCGTCGAATTCGTTAGGGATGTTTGGGGTGTAGGTATCGAACCCATCGCCACTCCAGAGAGGCATCCGCTAATCTTAGGCGAGAACGCAGTCATTCAGGTTCGGGCATAGAATAGAATGGGCAAGGGAAGCTTTGTCGTCTGCATCGTAGAACGCAAGGAATTGCGGTGCCTCCATGAATGCCATCCAGAATGAAACTTTCGAGATCGCCCAACTGCTCCGGGAATTACCGCTGTAAAATCTTGGGCTTTGTGAAGTGCCTGCTGCGGAAAAGCATTTACCTGAGAATTTCTCGATAGCAAATTTCGTAAATACATTCGCCTTTGAACAACATCCAAAAGGTGTTATCGCCGCAACGATGCAATTTACTATCAATCCTAACAACCGTTTAATAGACGGAAAAGTATCCACTTCGCAACGGCGATACTAGATTAATTTACACACTATGATTCAACATCGCTATTTTTAGTAATGTGACTCACAGTTTGGTAAATTCTGAATCACATTACAAATGCGCGAGAAAAATATAGAGAGAATAACATTTCTAGAGATAATTTTAAAGCTCGAGCCCTCTGCTTTCGAATTTTCAATTTCCTCGGTGGATCGTTTCACGCTAGACAAACTGGAGGGTTCGGTCTTTAAAGTTTATCGTACATGTTTTCGCGAAGTTAGATCGAGCACGTCGACTCGATACTTTTTGGAAATGTATATTTTTAACGTCGGGGGAAAGTTTTAGTGGAAAGATTAGTTGTAAGGATGTTAGGTTTCGAAGGTGGATCGTATTAGCTCCGCCTTATCGGTTTTAAAGGAACATCTTGTAACCAGACTTTGGAAAAGGTTCATTTTATTTTTCAGAAGAGGAGCCGCTGGAAAATAATAGGACGAACGGGAATCACTCGGCAGGTTCACGAGGAAGTCCCGTGATCTCGAGCACGCGTGTAACGCCACCCTCGGCGAGCGCGAATCCAGGCCATCTGACCGCCCTCCACTCCACGTCGCACCATCATCTCTCTATTCACCAGCAACAGCAGCAACAACAGCCGCCGCAGCAACAGCAGCCACATCACCACCACCACCATCATCACAACAATCACAACAGCACGCATAATCCTTACGTGGAAAATCACAATTCGAATCATTCGCAGCAGAACACCGGTAATCTCGTCGTCGACGTTGAACCGAGCCACGATAGTAAAAAGCATCGAAACGGGTAAGGAAACCTTTTAATTTTGATTAAATCCGGAAAATTAGAAACTTTTATTTCCTTTAATCGTCTTACTTTTAATTAACTCGAATTCGGAAAGAAAAGATATCGTTGTTAGATTTGTAAAATGTCTTACTTTTACAAGTCTCGCTGTGTTTAAAATTATTATAGCCGAGGTAAGCGAAATAAGAATACATTTGATTCTATGCTATGTTTTTAAATACAATTTATATTTATCTATTGTGTTTTTTGGAAGATGTTCGTTTATTTCACGAGGATCTTAGAAGGGTTTAAAGTACGTTAATTTAACCCTTTCGGCGCTAAAACGTAGTTACATTTTTTTTTTATTAATTGTATTCCCCAAATGCTTATGGGAATTGATATAAATGGCTATAAAACCGAAAGGGTTAATACCTATTACCATATTATATATCGTTGATTGACATTAATTATACTTTAACCGTAACTTTTATAGCGCGTAACACTTATATCTATAAGATTACGACTAAGATTAAAAATAAAAAGGCCAGGAAATATTAAATATTATACAGTTGGGACAAAACTGTATTGATTTTACTTAAAAATTTTACATAGTTGGACTGATAAATCTTTTGATATTGAGAAACATGTCTATCGAATAATATGGTAAGAAATATCTTGAATCGATTTGTATCATCATACTTCATTACGGAGTAAATCGTTTTTGGAGTAACTGTTTTCACCTTTCTAGAAGTGAAATAACACAATACGAATAAAATACACCATGTAAACAATTTTAATTTATACTCGGAAGATGCGATGAAATGTCAGTTTCCAAAATCTCCTAGATTACATATAGTAAGTAAGATTCAATTATGGAAAAAACAAATACATTGTAATTGTTTTTACACGCATCTAAAAAGAACAAAAACACAGGGCGTGCGTGTGTGAAAGCGTGAATTGTGTCTAACAGGATTTGTAGTGGGGAAAGTGACCCTGAACGGCCAAAACCTTTTGCCTTGACCGAAACGAGCATTAAATGGTAATCACGTTAGTTCAGTTTCAGTTTTGTCGTCAGCCATTAACATCTGTTAAATATGGTACCCACGTCACCCTTCCTTAAACAAATCCTGATATTTTACTTAATTTTTTTTTACAAGTTTTCATTTATGTTTTGCGTTTTTTCAATATATCTATAACGATTAAAATAATAACGTACTATTCAAAACAATTAATGGATCGCGATTATGCATAATTCGAAGGCTCCAGTCAAGAGATTAGGAATAATAATTCGAACAGCCGATCCTCTAATTATTTTGAGTAGCGTATATTGGTGAAAAAAATTTGTGTAACGACATTAGTAGACTCGTTGCAAGTTAGGCCTAACGATACGCATTAATCAGAGACTTGATACAAAAATTCGTATATCGCGGCTATGTATACTTTCCCAACGACCAACAAGAGTACCATATTAAGTAATCATAATTATAATATACGCAATTATAACAATTATACGATCGTAACCACGAGACGCTCGACAAGCAATAAACTTATAACGTATTCATTTTTATTAACTATCGTCGCACGTTTATTACTTCTTGGGAGACGGAATCGTCAACGGGAAGTTCCCGTTTTGCATTATCTTTTTCATTCTCTATCCCCCACAAATGCGTTTCAACGTTCGTTCGTTTCTATTCTGTGCTTTTCTACCGATCTCCTTCTATGTTTCTCTCCTTCGCCGTTTCTCCTTTTCTGTCCCCCCGGAGTCTCCGTCTTTCTCTCGCTGCCGATATGTCAGCCTGTTGCTTCGTACTCTCTTTTTCTCTCTCCCTCTCTCTCTCTCTTTCTCTCCAACCGTCTTCTCTGTTTTCTCTTTTCTCGTTGCACAGGCAGCAGCGTCGACGAGGCAGAGTCTGCTGCTACCCATTCACGCGGTGCACGTGTCCAGGGTGAATGGCACGTGCACGGTGCGTTGCTTACCGCGTCGCGTTACCGTGAGACCGAGACGCCTAGTGACGCGGTCGCATGATCGTCGCGTAGGACTAAAGGTCCGTTTTCACGTCAAACTTACAGTCGATACAGATTTTTCGCTCAAAATTCAATTGTTTGCAAATTAACGCGTTGACTGTCACGTCCATTTCCCGTGTCTATGAATTTCCTCAACATTTGTTTAACCCTCAATAGCCGTCACCAGGTCACTTTTGACCCATTAATGAATTTTGCACCCAACTTTTTGGTACAGGGATTTATTTAATAATTTATAATATGAAGAGGAGAGTTTATTTAAAAAATGTAAAATTGAACATGTATATACAACTTTGTTATGTTTTATTGCATGTTCTTTACATACAGGGTGTTCGCCCATCCCTGGGAAAAATTTTAATGGGGGATTCTAGAGGCCAAAATAAGACGAAAATTAAGAATATCAATTTGTTGATGGAGGTTTCGTTAAAAAGTTATTAACGTTTCAAGTTCCGTCTGTACTGAATTTTTTTCTCGAAAATGCGCAGGAGTTCGGAGGTATGTCTATTCACCAAAAATGATTGTAATTGACCCCCGTAACCGAAAATAATTTTTCCAGAACGATTTGAAATTTTTTTTTCCGTCGAAAAATTTCACACCTTCTCGAATTTTTTTCTAGAAAATGGGTAGGATTTCGGAGGTATGTCTATTCACCAAAAATGATTGTAATTGACCCTCGCAACCGAAAATAATTTTTCCAGAACGATTTGAAATTTTTTTTTCCGTCGAAAAATTTCACACCTTCTCGAATTTTTTTCTAGAAAATGGGTATGATTTCGGAGGTATGTCTATTCACAAAAAATGATTGTAATTAGCCCCCGCAACCGAAAATAATTTTTCCAGAACGATTTGGAATTTTTTTTTTCCGTCGAAAAATTTCACACATTCTCGAATTTTTTTCTAGAAAATGGTTAGGATTTCGGAGGTATGTCTATTCACCAAAAATGATTGTAATTGACCCTCGCAACCGAAAATAATTTTTCCAGAACGATTTGAAATTTCTGAATTTAATTGTTAATAACTTTTTAACGAAGCCTCCATCAACAAATTGGTATTCTTGATTTTCGTCTTATTTTGGCCTCTAGAATCCCCCATTAAAATTTTTCCCAGATTGAGTTGGCGATGACGGGTCAACGGTGACCCGGTATCGACTACCTGGAGGGTTAACCCATTTGATACTTACAGTGACCATAGTCACCCGTTAAAGTTATTTAAAAGTTTGCAAATATCAGGGCTCGATATTATGGCAGCCAACGATTAAAAAATCATAAATGTTATTTGTTAATTTTCTACCGATCTCTGCCGAAGATTCTTCGATCACGGAAAATTCAATATGCATCGTGTATCGTGATCAGATCGTACAGTTGCGATTTTGTAAACGAACGATGCAAAAGAAACACACGCATTTGCAGAGCGTCTCGTTCCAGCATTTTGCGCCAGTCGCTTTGAAAATGCGTTACAAACAAAAATTATTCCAGTGTGAGGTGTTTTGTGTGCGTGTGTGTGTGTGTCTACAATCGTCAACATTTTGGAAACCTTCCATACTCCAAATTAAATCTGGCTTTCGAAAAAATTACACGATAGGATCATCGATAAATACAAATAATGTGATATAAGTTAAAAAGTAAATTTTATGAAACACAGACTTTCAACTGTACCTGATGCAGGAAATTGTATAATAGTTATACTTTAAAGTCACGGATGATATGTGTTAAATGTACAAAAAGTATTTAATTTAGCTCGAACTGGCTCGAAATGGTAAATTTATTATACGAATTTGTTCATATTTTCCTGTGAATTAAGTGTCGTTTCATCGTCTAGATAAATAACTACAGTTTTATTCTGAGGTTAAATATCGTTTGTGCGATCAAGTTCGAGTTGATAGAATTAGCTTCCTGTCACTCTAGATCCAAAGTGGAACCGCGAAGTGTCAAGTATCTACATATTTTCCTTTCTCTATTCTAGACCGTGCACAATTCGATCCGGCACTAGAGAAGTGCACAATAAATTGGAGAAAAATCGAAGGGCGCACTTGAAGGAATGCTTTGAGCTACTAAAGAGGCAGCTACCGTCGCAGGATGAGAAAAAGTCTTCGAACCTTTCCATTCTACACGCCGCGAACAGGCATATACAGGTATGCAAACTAACATTATCATCCTTGTTGCTTTAATCGACTAAACAATATTCTATACTCGAGCTTATCATATATCCAAAAGTTATTTTCACTCTTCAAGTGAAACATTATTTATATCATTAGTATACAACATAAAAATTAGAGATATTTCATTATTATGAAAGACTACGAATACAACTCGTCTTTAAAAAAAAATCTTGAAAGAAGGAAATAACCGGGTTAGGTTAGGTATAAAAGTATTTTCGTTGTGTACAATGTGTTTAAAACTTATGCAATCTATTTGAGCAAACGTTAAATGAATTTTATAAATAATATAAATATACTTTATATTTGATGCTACTTATAATGTTTCTTATCTTAGAAAACAGCTTGTCCCAGTTTCTAAAATCGCCCTGTATAGCAAATTGAGTCATAGCTCGGTCCTCCAGACTTATCGTTGATTTCAACACGACTTCTGGAGCGCGAAATAACAGTCAACAGCGATTACAGTCTGCTTGGTTTGGATTTTTTCACCATCACCCTTGAACGTTCACGTAAATTTTTCTTTTTCTGGTCGATATTTGCGCCTGCGGTTGCAATAGTTATGTCGTCTATATCTTATCAACGGCCTCCAAGCTCGATTTCGTTCCACGCTACACGCATACTCTTCTTGCCTTTTTCTTCCTTTTTCTTTTTCGTATCCCGTATCTCTGGCATGCGTGTATACGCATTTAACTACACTCGAAGGCGATTTATTATAATGCCCCTGCCTTCGCGTACCTGCTGCGCTCAACCGCGGCAATAACAAATTTTTCCTCGAAAGTAAGTAAAACGTTAATTAAGCATAAAGCAATTCGATGTTGTGGTATCGCGTGGCACTTGAATTTCGAATTCCCGGTCTTAGCGAGTTGCATATTCGACTCAAGGTCGATGCACTCCGACGATTTGACGTATAATGTGTCTCGCGATATCGGGGACTCGACCTTTGAAATGTAATCGAAATTAATAAACCGAAAGCGACGATGTTTGTACTTACATGGTAATAACACTATGTACGACAAATAAGTGCTGATCAATTAATCTTCGTTCTGTTAATCGGTTTGGTTCGTATACTGCGCCTCGCGAATTACATATCGGCACGTGATGTAACCAGACAACGTTGTCAACGAGAGATCACAATTAAAACTTAATGAAACGAAATAAATAAACTTCTAAATCGGTTAAATGTAGTCATTTTTAACATTATTTTTATTGGTTTATTCGTATATCAACATGGTTGTAAATTTTATGTTATAAACCTAACATATAGTAATTAACAGAAAACACGTTGCTATGTAGCTTAGAAAACTAATCTGTTTTTTTTTTATCTTAATATTTGCCATACAGATGCCATAGTACTATAGAATGGCGAATGGTTTTTCTATCTTCCATTGTACGAAAATACAACAAAATCCGGTTTAATATATTCCGGTTCGACCGTCGTCCGTTTATTTCGGTTCAATTTTGGACGAGTTACGAAACGGACATTAACTTCACGTGGTACGACCAGAAGATTGCGCCTCCCCGCGAAGGTCGACCACACCTCCTCCTTTTCCTTCTTTCGTGATTCAACTTCAACCCTCCCACCAGTCTTTGGCCTCTTCCCCTCTTCCGTACCCTTTCCCTTTCCCCCTCCGCTCGTTCTCTTTCATCCCCCCCTCGGTTCGTTTACTTTCTCCATCTCTTTCTCCACCCTTTTGTTCGTTCTTCGCTTTTCGATTTGTTTCTTTCTAATACGCGCGCGGCATACGTTACGTCGGGGTCCCAAACGTACCCACGGAAACCGAACAGTCGTATTTCTTTTCCACCTTTCCCACTCATCATTGTTTCTCATTTCACCGCGTGCTCCGTCGGTGTATCATTCAACCTTTTCTCCCCCCCCGAGGAAATTGTTTTTCCATGTTTCTTCTCTTTTCTACGCGGCGACCACTTATCGCGTCTCTCCGTTATTCCGTCTGCTGCACCGGCTTATTTCTCGTCGCACGTTGTTTCCCTCTCTCCTCAATATCGTCCCTTCCTTGTTTATCGTCCGTGTCTCGTCCGGCTTATCTTCTATCGTTCCTCTCTTTTGTCATTCAACTTTCGCTCTTTGTCTATGCTTCGCACGATGCTACCCCTCACCTCCCCTCGTCTGTTGCGTATCACCGTATTTTCTGTCTGGATACGTTCCATCTCTGCAATTCCTCCACTCCTCTCCGATTCATTTACTTTCCCTTCCTTCGCCTCTGTTGCCTCCCTCTCTCTCTCTCTCTCTCTCTCTCTGTCTCTGGCCAGCGATTGTACACGTAAATTTCCCCTCTCTTTCCACGATCGTCCGTCTCGCTCCGGGTCATCCTTTTCTTCCCCACCACGCCAAGACGTTCTCGTTGTCCTCGTCCGGCTATCGCTGGCTTTCGTGTCTTTCGTCTCTGTTCGCGGTACGCGCGAATGCGTGCACGCCGGTTCTCCGTATAGAATCTGTACCTATATTGGTTCCACGTGACCGTGCGGCCATCGGTGTCACGCCGCATGGCACGTACAGCACACGCTGCTATCCGAACTTTTATCGTTCGGCGCCATTGTTGGCGACTTCGTAAGGTACGAGAAGCGACGCTGCTCTTCAAACATGTCGAAATTGCCAGACGACTTTCCGCACCGGTTGCGGTCAAACGCAATTACAATAACGATCGTAAGCTTTGGAGGATTTTTCCGAATACGTTGAGTCACGGGATAAATCATTAATCGTAAATAATATTTCATTCGATATCCGAGATGGGACGCAAAAATGTAAAATAAAAATTATTCTACGAAACATATTATTATTTTGGTTAATACAAATTTTCTTCGTCAAGTTCTTGCTGACTTAATATTTGATACTGAATTTTTGCAGTATTTTCACATAATATTATATTATCGATGTATATTATATAAGGTTGGAGAAGCATTATACTCCTTTGCCAATTTAATTTTTCTATTAGATTCGAGTCTTAAGTTTGAATGGGCTATATTAAGATTTTAATTTTTTATACGATTTATTCGACGATTTATTTGATCAAATATTTTTGAATTTTGGGATTGATTCGGAGTCGTCTTCGGGCTGTGGATAATCTAAAATTCTGCGTGGAACTCCGCGACATGCAAATATACCGCACGATTACCGACGCAATAATAACTTCGCGAATAGCTGCCAGACTTTCGAGATCGTTGAGTAAGCTACTGTATTATTTTGGAGATTAGTAGAACCTCCGTGGATATCGAATAGTATTATCTTACTTATTAATATTATATTTTTGTCGTTAAAGCTTGCTTGTTTCGTGCCGCCTGCTAAAAAAAACCAATAGACATAGCTAAACGTATGTTTATATATGCATGGATAGAGATTGAAGTGCAATGTAATTAATTAAAGCTTAAGTGCCGTAATTACAGAGTGCTCCATTAACGAAGTCGGAGCACGGTTAATGAATAGCGTATAGTGGTGTATAAAACGATGTTCAAAAATGTTAAGTCCAGCTTCGTAGAACACCCTTCTGCATCTGAAATTTACTTTGTCTTCTATTTATTACATTTGCTCATCTATGAGTCGAAGCCAACGATAGTGGCATAAGTGCCAGGGCAGATAGTGGCATAAAAGGTAGAAAGAAATGAGCGTGTAAGCTATTTACGTATATTCGAACGCGATACTGTGTTACGAATCCTGTTGGAGGCAGTTTGACCACGTGCTTGTGAGTCGCGCGTGCGCTTATTCATGCAACGATCTTCCTTCTCCTTCCGCTCCGATCCCCCTCCACATTCTCCTTCTCTGTTTAACCTTCGCGGCCCTCGCGTGTCCGTCTATTTCTGTTTCTGTATCTCCGTCCTTCTTCGCGATACATACTCCCCTCCTTTCGCTCGCCCCCTCCTTGTTTCTTGTGTTGTGTTACTCTAGCCGCCGCTATCCTCGTCTCTTCCCGTGCCGTTCCCTCCATTTTCTTTACACCGTGCTCTTTGTTCCTCCAAGGGAAGAAACACTGTCTCTTACTCGGCTCTGTTTATCTTTGTGTGCGCAAGTGGCTATCTCGGTCATCTCTTTTCCGTCCGCCTGGCGTTCTTCTTCGCGCGCGGTCGCGTTGCTCTCCTTTCTCCTTTGACTCTCCCCTTTCCCCCACTCCCCACCCTCTATAGCAGCTCTACCACGTGCACTATATCAGCGCGCGCCGGTAGCACTAACACTCGCTGTCGCATGCGTTCCTTCGCGAAATATTTTTGCTGATGTCACACGGGGCCGCTTATCGCGTTTTGAAGAAAAGACAAGCTTTCTGACCGTCGTACGCGACACGTACGAGTTATTGTTTTCGCATACTCTTGTGTACAATGCATTCGGAGCAGGGCTGAAACTCGTTGAATTATTTATCTGCCAGATATCAGAACTAAAATGCAATTTAGCCATTCTGTTTTTCTTTTAATTGGGATATATATTCATGCCCATACGTTACGATACCAATATTTATGAGTTCCCATAAGTTTAAATATCCAAATTTAATTATAGAATCTTCGATTTGCGTGTCTTTTCGAATACCTAGAACGGTCCGAGCGAAGACGAACCGCGACGCGCGCTGGTTCAGATTCGAACTGGACGCATTAAGAATTTCGTCCTTGCATATTTTTATCCTCTTCTCGTCGACTTCTTTGAAAGCGTGTGTATTGTTAACTGTTGGTGTTCGTTGTCACGTGCACGTTCCTTCGCGTATGTTCCACCACGTGACGTCAAATACAAGGCTTATCGTATTTCGAGGGAGAGGTGTCCTGAATCTGCAGGAGTATCATGTGACGTTCGCGAGAAGGTATTCTCGAAAGTGAAGTGAAAACATTTTCATCGGCTTTCACTCGCTTTTCTTACGCGCGCGACAGGACACTTCTAAAAAAAAACACTTAACATATACAGTGGGTTAACAAAGTCACCGTACAGAAAAAATTCTTTGTTATGATTTTATTATTATTCTGCTGTTTCTGTCTAAATAAAATTCCAACTTTTTAGGTGATTTTGACTTAGACTATAATTTGTAAATATCTACACAGAATTATATATTTTTTAAATATTTTCTCTACCATTTCCTCGTTCAGGCGTTATTTCAAATGACTGAAATTTATGAAATGCTAAAGGTAGAATTTAGTTTTGCATTTTGCGCTCTTCGAATCGGAATATAATTAATTTTTCTAGGCCAGCGAGTATACCACGAGACCCGCGAACGTTCCCATCGAAAATTATCGACGTTAGGATAGTTTCGTATGGCATTTCTTCATCGTTGCGATAACTTTGTTGCAGACGTTGAGGAGGAAGGAACGGGACTACGAGCACGAAATGGAAAGGCTCGCGAGGGAAAAGATCGCCGCTCATCAGAAATTATTAGCTTTGAAAAAAGAGCTCGCGGCTACCTGGGATCACATTGATTTTAATACTCTTTTGCCGGAACAGAATTCTGCTGTCGATGCAATAGCTACGAAAAGTGGTAAGTTTCACAATTAAATGCAAACTTAGATAGTAAAAAAAAACATGCATGTTCTTAACTTATGTTTAAAATATTTAATATTATCAAAGATATAGTTATTTTTAAATGGATCCCCTTTTGTTGAGCATACCTTCACGGTTGCCACGATTCCGACTGTTCCGCTTATCTGAAAAACGAACAAACTAGAAACCATTTTGTTCGGATGTGGCTATAGCAGATATAAAAATTGTGCAAAAATATTGAAAAATTAAACATTGGCAGCATTTTAAAGTTGGTTTATCTTTTGTAAAAAACATCGGCTTGTGACAATTTTAATAACGAATAGCACCTTAAATGATAGATGAGCCGTTCGAACGGCGTGTTAACGAAATCGTTTGCATTTAAGTTTCAGAAAGTATGGAAGTAGACGTGACTGGGCTCGCTCGAGGAGGCACGAGGTACAGTAGTACCAGTAGTCTGAGTAGCGCGGCCACAGCCAGTTCACCACAAACACTTCAAACCACCAGCACGACTTCCAATATTCATAATCAAGTTGCGACCGCGGCTGTTGTTTGTCAAACGCAGGGTCTGAACCTCGCGCAAAGTTCTAGGGAAAGTCCACCTGCAAGTTCAAGCCCTGGAACGCCCACGCCTAGCATTCCTACTCCGGCACAGGTAAATCGAAACACGAAAGATAGACGAGGGAGTCGACGGGCACAGTGTTTTCCGTATTAGTAGCAGATAAAGGGAATCTGCGGACGGTCGGATTAGCTCGGTCGGTTGGCTATCCTTCTCGTAATCCAAAGGTTCCGAGTTCGAATCTCGGGTTCAGCTACGTTCGCGCATCGCCCTTTTTCTCGCTGAAAGGGGGGACCTCGAAATCGTTAAAGCACCGAACAGCCCGTTGGGCACAACGCGAGTCTCTAGCGTTTGTGTGTGAAACGGTGCGAGAGAAAATACACACTTTAAAGTCACTGTTTATATATGAACTTGTATAAACAGTGTATGCGCGTGCGTACATATTTCTATCGTTATCTGACAACGAGTTTTTTTTTGTCGTAAATGGAATATGGAAAAAGATTTAATTCCTCCGACTCGTCGTTTACGCAATAGTATTTTTTTTATAACGCTAATGGACTGCGGATTTTATGCATTTGTGTCGCATATTAATAGAGAAAACGTGTGCAAAATGTATGCAGAATATGTTTTATGAGATAATTTAATAACATTAATTTTAAGTGCATTGTATTCTGTGTATGTTTAGCATACGTTCCATGAAAGAATTTTGGATTTTTATTTTTAATCCGATCGCGCGAATATCGAAGCTATAATCGTTATCAGGTTATAATTTTTTCATGGATGAGTGCGTTTCAGACGCTTGGCGATCGCGATTATATTTGTGTATTTTGGTTTACGCGACCTCGTAGCGCCGATAAAGATAAAAACGAGTCAAGGTCGGGCAAGGTCATTTCATCAATTAATGCAATATCCGAGGCGTTTCATAATTGACGAGCATAACTCTCGTGGTAAATGATTCAGTACAGAAATTATTTTTTACTTTACCATCATTTTTAAAAATTTAATTCTGAATATTTGTTCGGTACCTTTTAGTTACTTACACGTTGCAATGTTTAAAAACTAAGCGTACGTCGAGTTGGGCAAATGTCACTGTAAATTGTGTTCGCGTCCATAAATTGCATACTATTAAAGTAACGGTTACGGGCGATAGGATCAAAGTTCGCATTCGCGAAATTATAGATACGTTGTTTTTTTGTTGTAGGAGAAAGTTAACACGTCGTCGACCGGTATGGTGCAGCAACAGCATCAACTGCACCTGCCCATAAGTGCTCAGATGTTGAACACGAATCAAGGTTTGGCGACGATCGTCCCCACCCTTCAGCACATCGGGCCAAGCTTGAGGGTGATACCTGGCGACACGAGGCAGCTTCTGGTCACTCACACCACCGGGAACAACGAGTCTAGACCGTTAACGTTAGCCGTGCAAAATTCTTCGGATCAATCGAGGCCACTGATCGCTGTGCAATCGAACACTGGAAGTGAGCCAAGGCCCGTGGCGCTGGTCGTTCACTCGTCCACGGCCAACGACAACAGGGTAACGTTCGTGCATTCTAATCTGTCCAACAACGATAGGCCGTTGGCCCTAGCCGTGCAGTCGTCGGCCAGTGACGTCAGGCCAGTTACATTTGTGCACTCGGCGAACGAGGGAAGGCCGTTAGTTCTCGCAGCGCATTCTCCTGCACTGAACGTGTCGAGTGAGTAGCTTCCGATGTCGTGCGAAACGCAATTATGACTAGTTTCCCGTTAATCCTCTCAACATGAGCAATTCTTACCTCGAACGTACGGATAATCCTTAACTCGATCGTGGGGCCATCGCCGTTTTCACGAACGGCGTTCATTAGCGATGGGATCGACCGTTGCGCGAGTATCGAACCCTCATGGGTCATTCTAGAAACTGGAACGATCCCTGGCTCGTTCATAAGCGAAGATATAAACAACCGGTATTAGTAAATGTCGAATATCGCGGTGAAGATTATTCGTTTGACGATGTAACTTCGCTTTTCGAGCATCTTGTTTACGTAAATACTGTTAAGATTAGTAAAGACGTGTACTTGATAAGATTCTAAATGGAAGTAACATTTGCCCATGGGTCATCTAGACAATTGCCTCGTAGTAATTCTATTCTAAAACGCGGTAACACTGTTGATATAGCGATTCTGAATTGTGTTACAGACGCTCAAACGAGGATAAGAGCGGGTGACACGCAGACCACGCATAAAATGGTCGGCGGTGTGACACTGGTCGGCGGAAATGGATCGGAGCTGACTAGACTTCCGGGTGGCGCTGAATTGAACATACTTCCGGCAAATGGTACGGTTCACTTTCTCTGTTTCAGTGATCGTAAAGGCGTCAACTCTCTATACTACTTAAAGTCTCAACGCTTAAATACTTAAACGACTATAAGTTCTCTGACCGAGCATGAACTCTTAAAGTTTTAAAAATTGTGTCTGTTCGCATGGTATACTCTTAGAGCGCATCAAATACCAAGGCCAGGTCGCACAATTGCGATTTAGTAATGAGTCGATGCCAAAGTAAACAATTCATTTGCAGAGCGGTTCGTGCAACCGTGCGCGGTGTCGCTTTGAAAATGATTGACAGATAGCATGTAACTATCGTGCTTATTCTGAGCGTACAAGGCGATTCGTGTAACCGTGCAATTAATTTGTTACAGGCTTGACGCTAAGCCACGCAGGTGTGTCGCTCCAGACTGCAACGGGCAAACCTGGCTCGACCGTGATGCAGAACGCTCCGTCCACAGAAGGTATAGCTCACATAGTCGGTCCACACACGCCTCTGTCCGGTTTGACGCCTATCGTCACGCCTATGACGGTCGTCTCGCAAGGGAATCAGGTGACCGCTCACATTCTGGCGCCCTCCAGCCTCGCGGGTAAGATGATCACGACCCCGATTCTGAAGTCCGTGGCGCAGATGCCAATCGTGAACGCTCAGTATATCAATACCACGACCCTGGTGAAGCCGGTGGTCGTCGTCAGTTCCCCGTCAACATCCGCGCCACAGTCGACGGCGGCTTCCAGCACGCAACCTTCCTCGACCACGCACTCGACCGTCTGACAGAATCAAAGGAAAGTGAAATTAGTTTGAGAAACGGCTAGGTCGTATCGGTGCATCGAAGCATGGAGCGACGAAGATCGCGGCAGACCGACGTTTGGATCCACGTTTCGCTGTTGTTTGACACCATTGACGCGCGTCGGGCCGACGACTGGGCACGATGACGTGAAGTCGAACGGTCGCGTCGATGGGGACACGATCGCAGATGTCCCGGACGGAAGGACCACCGTGACCGTCACGATGTCGCCGACGTTGAAGGAAAGTTTTCTATTTTTGAACGTTGAGCTTGCGTTCCTTCGTGTTTAAATTCGATGTTTTTACGCTCTTCCAAAGAGTAAACCGACTGAGAGTGTGTTGGAAATGTCGTTGCTCAACTTGCGCGATTGCGCCTGGTACCTTGAATACTCCGAACAAGTACTTACCCGCGCGTAATCGAACACGGAAACAGTACGGACGCGATGCAACGAGGCAGCTCAAGCGAAAACAGTTTTAATAACAGACAATCAGACACTCGTACGTGATTAATTGTACAGTAAGTTCTTCGCTTGCGTGGTTAGTTCCACAACTTCCCGCGCCCAATTTTATAAATACCATGTATTGCGTATACAAATACGAATCGATGGAAGGCGGAAGCGGGGGTGGCTGAGCAATATTTACAACGTCCTTTTATTCGGAACCGACCTTTCTTCCTCTAGAATAAATTTACCTGTGTTATTTTCCTTTCAGAAGTCAACTCGAATTAAGCAGATGCGTACGGTGCCCCCTTTATCAAAATTCAAAAGTTCGAAAGACATAGGCATCTTGCTGTGAATTTTCTTCGAGTGAAAATTCGTCGATATTCACTATCGTTTAACCGTTTGTGTGCACAGAGATCGTTTCGAAAACCGCGACGAAAAAATATCAAACCTATAGCAATAACGGCATCAGGGGATCAAGTCTAATTTGTGCAAAATCTATTCAGCACTCAAACGGTTAATAAAGAAAGACTGTCGATTGTCAGGAGAAACATAATCAGTAATGTTCTTTCGCGTAACTCGAGATCGCGTGACTGGAGGACTTACTGTATATTCAAAATTTCAATTGATACAAGCTTTTGAAAACTATTCGAGACCAAGAACACGACTCGTGGCATAATCTTGTTTGCACGATTTTTAAATTGCATGACAGCAGAGTATGAAGCTCATTTACTATTTCTTCGGTACCTCGTCGCAATTGGGGAAGTTTGGCAAAGGTTACAAAAAAAAAGAAAAAAAAAAAAGAAACAAAACGACTGTTTTTAGAGTGATGTTAAATTAAAGAATTTGTACGATAAGATTGATTTATATGTTTTTGAAATTGATCGAAATCTTGAAATCGGGTGGATGATGATATATGCCTGTGCTTTTTAAATTATCATAATAGTGGCTGTGGAGAAACGATTATCGATGGACTTTGTCATACGCCTATGTTTACTTTCGAAAAATTAGATCGTATAAAATTGAAGTTTCGTCGTGCCGAAAACACTCGCCAAGGAACACACACGGTGTATGTTTATTAACGTGCTCAAGTATTTATTCGCTTATATTTATTCTACAAACTTAATTGAGCATCATATACGTTCGTCTTGGCTTTCGAATACCTTTTACCGGGTTAATTTCAGTAACGCTCACACACGCGATTAACGTTACGGGTACGTTTTCGAGGTAGTAGTTCATTGTCCAAAAAAACAAAAGAAAAAACGAAAACAACATTGTGTACATAACACGCGGGCTCTCGTCGAGTCGACGGACGCAACGCGTTATTTCGCATAATAATCGCCAACGTTCGGACGAACGGAGAATGAGCAAAAACTTCTTATCGCGTTGCAATCGAAGGAAACCGGAAAGAGACTACTTGTACACGCGTAATCGTTTTTACCGTACTATTTTGAATTGCTTTCTATCGCGTAGGTGAAAATAAAATTTACGTTTCATTCTGCAACATGAAGTTTTTCGCGCTTTCATCATTTGATATACTCGATGCGAGACCGTTAACGGTGGTTGTTCGGCTTAAATAGTTTTAACGAGACAATTGGCGTATAGAGTGCAACTTGGAACATGATCGAAATTTACTTATAAAACAGAAAAAGCTTTTTACGCGACTGATCATATAACGCCTCTGCATCACGTCGTTCAGGATTCGCGTTCGCGCGAGTAGTTCTGCAAAGGAACAAGACTTAATACGGAAGTACGAGACCAAGCTCTCTCACGATTAAAAATTTGTAATATTTTTTTAGACACTGTACTTCTGTAACCTCTCAACGTTATTAATTTCTGATTGTGGTCCGTTTCGGGTACGGTAACTTTGTTTACCCTGTTTTCCTATCTTATCGTGACTTCTGAACAAAATTAATTGTCCACTTTGGAAGCAGTTTGTCAGTCAACGTTGCAATTATCCGAAAAAAAACGAAGTCATGGGCGGGATGGGACTTCGTATCGGTACGATTTTGATACCGGTATTACGTAGAGCCGAGTGTTAAAGCGCTAATCATTTTTGTTAGGCGTGAGTGCGTGCGTGCGTGCGTGTGTGGATGTGACTGTTAACGGTCTCTTTCAGATATCACAATTTGTACACTAGTATTATTATTAATTGTATCTGCGTATACAAACACACGTATACATATATATATGTATACATATATATATATCTTGTTTTTTTTTTTTTATTTTTTAAATTATTTAATCAAAGGCTTGGTCAGTCAGTTCAGCTGATGTGTAAGCATGTAATATGCGTGGGCGCTGTGTCTTTAGGTCGATCAACAAATTTGTTAAAAGGTTTTATTAAGTTATTGGTTAGCTGAGAGCAAAGCCGTTTTCAGGGACAATGCGTCTAAAAAATTTGTGAATTCTGTATCTTACGGGGCTGTTGAAAAAGTAATCTTGGTTTTAAAAAACTGACGAGCATCGGCTATAACGCGTGAGCCCGGTGAAGATTTAACAATATACTGCTCGGTGTAATTAGCGTGTCGCGTTTCTGGACGATTCTAGAGCGCGTTCCTCTGGAACTAAGAATATTAGAGATGAAAATATTCAGAAAGAAATACTATGTATTTAATATGGTAAATATTTTTCATCGAATTTGATGTAATTTGCAGCGTATCGAGCCCACAATTTGATTTCTTTTTCGGCAGGGAATGTATTCCAGTTAAATAGATATAACTTTCCTTGATATAGCAATGACAATTGGAATTCATTCTTCGAGCACCGAAAAGTATAAAAACTATCTTCGACCCGGTTATGCGTGTTTCGCTAAAAAAAAAACCGTTTCTATAGCTATAACTGTTATAGGTTTCGCGCGAAAAGATCGGTCAGGCACGATGAACGATCGAATTTGACGACGATAGTACTACTAAATTAGTAGAGATTTCGAATAATATCGCTACTGAATCAGTAGGATTTCACTGGACGCGAAAGCAGTGCTTTATTGCGTCAATATTCGTGCGATCGAATGAAACAAGTGCAATATAATTCTTGGGAATAGTCGAACGGAAAGCAATTCCTCGTTTCGAAACGAGTCAAAAAAAGAAAAAAAAAGGAAAAAAGTATAGAGTATCTAAATAAAAGTGTCCAACAACGAATAAAAGATAAAACTTCTTATCCGTTACTGGATCGAATAAAAATTAGAAAAAGTAAAGATATATGAACTGTTGGTTGTTCTCGTGTATCATTTGCCCGTCTCTGGTCGCGGGGAATCGTCGTCTCGTCGATTGTATTCACGAATTACGCTTGCACGCCCGGGCCCAATCTCGCGGCGCCATTTTCTCAGCTGGTAGGCTCGTTGCACCAAGATGACTTTTTCGAAAGCTGTCGCCGGGCTTCGATCGTCGATTGATTGTTGCTTCTCAGCTCGCTCGTTCTTCGTATATCTCAATTATTGTCTGTTTCTTTTAGTTCGGCAAGATCAGCATCGAGATTCGTAAACATATCCGAGCGTATTTTTTATTTGGACGGGGGAGGGGGGAAGGAAGAAGTCGGATAGAAAATTCGTCGTCCATATTTGCTGATCGCGTCCCGCGGCGAACGTCGGGATTTCTGTAAATTAAACGTGTCTTTCGAGGGAATGTATTTCCATAAGATCTCTAAATGGTGGAGAAATTCGTAAATTTCTCGGGGACGGTAGAAAAGCTGCTCGAGGAAAATTCAATTCTACGCGCGTGCGCGAACGGAAGTCGCATTTTGTTCCCTCCTAATAAGTTAACCATGTGACTGAATCAGATCGCACCGGGCTCTCGAACTGTGTAATTCGGTACCTTCGTTTAATCCGAAAGTCGTGCAATGGATGTAAATAGTCGTACTAGATGTTTTGGGGGCATTCTTAAGCTGCATAACCGGGACAAACAGGCAAAAGCGCAGAGGATGGTATCGTCAATTTTTGCTCGTTGAACGCGGAGTGAGTAACTAGAGACTTCGATCGACTTCGAAGCCACACTTTTGTACCTTCTGATGCATTTGTCGCGATTATTTTTCGATAATACTTTCTTTGTGCAGTATATTTCACAAGAGCATCGATTCGATATCTAAAAAACTAATTTTCGACAAATTCACAAGTAGGTTTAACTCTGAGGCACAGGATTTCAGATAATAAAATAGACCCATGTTGCATAGAAATTTAAAATTGGTATACTTAATTGGTATATAAAACATTGTCGCAATAAACCTTCCACTTGCAACAATTGATGAACCTGTACTGGCATGTTGAATATTGCCAACACAAGTGAATACATTTGTAACATTTGTTGAAGATTTTACCGACTGCTTTATGTAAATAAGACAAAATATAAATCTATGTGCATGCAGCCATTGCAATATTTCAAAATGGGACTAAAAATGTCCCATCATGCATTATGGTGCATCAAAAAGGTGGGACACTGGTAATTCCAGTGTGCTTCAAAGTACGCATATAATGGTACAATGCAATTACCTAATATTCTTTAAAATCTCCTTTATACCCCTTATTCGACTGCATAATTGCTTCAGTGAAAGTGTATATGCTTTCCACGTAGTTTTAACTTCATAATAACCCACATATTTTCTATAGGGTTTGCATCAGGTGATTGCGAAGGACAATCCAAGACATTGATGGCATATTCTTTTTTCCATCTGGTACACAGATGACTCCAGTGTTATGGATCATTGTTTTCTTACAGTATCCAGGATGTATTGCTTTCGCTGAACCACATTCTTGCAGAAATAAACAGTTTTGATATATTTTTAACATCCTTGTACAGTTTCAGTGAAGTTCCAAAACCCAGGGAACAAAAGCATTCCCAAATATCAATGTCTTAGATTGGCTTTCAATCACCTAATGCTAACCCTATAGAAAATGTTGTTTTAAACCCTAAAAGGCTATTATGAAGTTAAAACTATGTAGGAAGCATATACTCCAGAATAAATGAGATTCAATGTTAGGCAATTGCATAGTTCTATTGTATGTATACTTTGAACCTATTTGTGAATGTTTCAAAAATACTTATTTTCTTGGACATCAAGCCTATGCTCTTGTAAAATATAAAATCAACCTTAAATTAATTTTCTTACAAAAAGAAATCATTGAAATTATAATAACAATGTTTCAAGCAACAGATTCGAATTTCAATGTGTATATATCTTGGTTTTTTTGTTGTATAAAAAGAGCAAAACTCGTTATTATTCGTAAAGCTCATTTTGTAGAAATAAATTATACCTTTGTTGTGCTTAGAGTTTGCAGATATCCGATTTCTGTTGGTATTATAGTTTTACATGTTTTCTTTGTTTGCTTGTCAAAAATATTTCCATCGGTTTTTCCATCCCGTTACTAACGAGTTAATTTGCTGAAAGTCTGAATATCGATCAGATTTTGCCAGATTTCTTTTTACTAAAACAATGCTCGGGAGTTGCTCACTGCGCGTACAGCGAACGATCAATCAAAGGAAGCTGGCATCAGGACGAACGGAAACGTGGAAACGGGATCGTATTTGCCGTCGAATGGCAGGTACAAATAGCGACTACCGAGACGGGGAGCAACGATAACAAATTATCGTTTTCTTCAATTGTATATAGAGCTCGTCGATCGTCGGATGGCAGAAAGTATGGAGAACGTGCGGGGAATATTATGTGTACATGAACAATGTGATATAAGTAATTAATAAAATTACTTAGCACTATAGCGTTTAAGCAGAACTGTTAAACTGTTTACAGCGTAGACGTGTACGATGCTAACTATTATTTACTAACATCCTAAAAGAATCGTAAGGGAATCTAATTGTACATAAAAATTACGAAAGTGAGAGAGAGAGAGTGTGAGAAGATTAGTGCGAAAGATAGAGAAAGAGAGAGAGAGATAGGTGTGAAAGATAATCGCGAGATACAATTATATCGAATACGAGATATAAATGGATGAAAAAAAGTAAAAAATGAAACGAAAAAAGTATCGAGCGAGAATGCGACGCGAAAAAGAAAAGAACCTGACGTCTTGTATATCCTTCGTGATAGAGCCTCTAGATTGTAATTCTCGTGTGTGAATGGGAACAACGCGAAGAATAAGTGCGATCGAGCGTTCTAGTAAGAGTGTTGTTGTTGTTGTAGTCCATGTCGAATTTTGTTATATGCCATCGCTGGTATATGAAACACACGGTATATCTCACGAACCTTCGAACAACTTGTTGTGCATTGAAAGAACGAAAAAAAAAAAAAAAAAAAGAATAATAATAATAATAATGATAAAAACG